ACGAGGAGAAAAAAGGTCGGGGGGGGCGTGGCAGGACTAAGCCCGGGGGTTATTCTTGACCTGGCAGTGACTCCAAGGCTGCGCCTTCTTTCGACGGCGCCAATTAGTGGGACTTTGGACTCTTGGACTCGGGCTTGATTTGGGTTCCGTTCGGCTGGATTGGTATTTCTGTGGATCAGAGGTCCAGGGCAGTCATGAAAAATCTGTGTGTCTCTGCACTGGGGAAAAAGTGCTGTTTGGTCTTTATTTACTACCCCTTGTCATTTAAGTGTAATCCGCTATGCCTTGATTCGTAGTGCTTAGCTTGAATGAAGCTTAAAACCCTTCAGATACCCATTTTATTTTCTATTTCTTTTCCATCCTAAGCTCTTTATTTTATGCAGATTGGATACCAAATATTTTCTTTTTGGCCATAAATGTCATAAAGCGTGAATTACTACACCAGATGGCAGACTATAAAAGGTAATGGGAACTGTTCAATTTATCAGCCATTCGTTTGGTTTTCTTGGGAATTCAGCTACCATTTATTGATGGCATTTTTCCCCCAGTGTGTCTGCGGCGAGGACTCGATGTCTGCTGCTCCCTTTCCTTCGTCAAGGAGCCATTGTCCTGGTCTGTTCTATCCTGGCCCCAATCCCCCAAACCCCCCGAATTCCCCGAATCTTCCATCCCTTTATCTCGTTTTGGCCGCAGGCTTTGGGCCCGTTTCTTTCCCCATCTTTTCTGTCCCCACCGCCTTTTTGACCATTTGTTAGGGGCTTGTTTCGGGACCAGGACACAATGCTGCCGGACTGCCCTTGGCTCACAGGACGGGCACACATGTACTATTTGCAGGCCAGCCAACTGGGCTCTTGTCTGCCAGCCAGAATGGCGAATGGAGAATCAATTTAGGCCGAATATTTGCACGTTGCCAATAAATATGGGGACGCAGAACCCTCGAATCCCCAGGGGAGGTCCTCTCACACTGTGATTCACTGTCCCAGCTGCACTCTATGGACATTAGAGGTGTCCAGTTGGGGGAGGAGGTGGAGCTTTAGAAGGGAGCACTAGGTGGACCAGCCACCTGGAAGGTGTGAAAAGCGCTTGCAGTTAACGGCACACCTGTCCAGGCCACAACAGCTTATTAATGCGATAGTGGGCGGGGTTGTCCAGGGGGCAGTGCCATGTAGACAAGGTGTAAACAAGGTTAACGACGCTAACGTCGCTGATTCGCTGGTCATTCGCTGCCGGTTGCCGGTTGCAGTCGGTGGCCAGCCGGATGGTAATCGCAGGTTCAATGGCTAATAATAAAGGAGCCAGGGGGGAAGGACGACCATGGACCGTGGAAGCTGTCAGAACCCATACCACTTCACCCGCCGGGATGAAAGCAAAAGGGATGACAAGAAAAATGACTTACGTCTGGCAGGGATCAGAGTTGTCGGCCACTGACAATAGAGTGATATATGGTTACGTGGGTTCCGCTGGGTTCTGAGTTCTGCGTCCCGCCGATTCGTTCGATTCGAATTAAAATGTCATTTAGCAAAGTGGGCAAAGCTTAGCTTGGTGGATCCTGCCATTCATTCAATCATCCGCTCATTGACAGCCACGTGGTTTTATCGACAGGGCGGAGTTCGAGTGATAAGTTTCCCCCACCAAATTACCAAATAGTCCAATTGCAATTTGGCTATCGCTTTCGACCAGGTCGCAATGCATATGCATAGCCATAGGCGTGAGTAATCATCATCATTGGTTCTGGGTCAAACGACGGTCGACATTGAAATCGGACACTGGACAACGGACAACGGACTCGGGACTTTGGACTTTGGACTTTGGACTTTGGCCTTTGGAATTGGGAAACTTGCGGGTCGGAACTCACTCGATTGCACTGAAATCGCTCAATTATCCCATCAATTTGGCTTCGCTGGCCCACTGGCTGCTACTATTGTTATGCAATTAATGCAAATTACCCGGATGAGCAGATACTGATGGACGCGTCAAAGAATGGGCAGTGGGCGTGGCAGTCGGAAACTAGGATAACAGATTACATGGAAAATGTGCAATGTAGACAATCTACATACATACTAGATAGATAGTACTTGTTTGCAGTACATGGCATACCAAAATGGGGTTAACCTGTCAGTATGATAATGTGGCTCTGTTGTTGATGGTTATTATTATTAGGTTGCTGTCCTGTACACTCGCTTTTCACCAAGTTTTCCCCTCATATTGCCTTACAAGCGATGGATGGAGATGGAGCATGGATAACATGTTTTTTTGGGTGTCGACTTTATTTTACCTGTCCCCATAGACTGACTACTACTCATGGCTATGGCCTTCATCTAGGGTGATTGCCCTGCCTGGTTGGCTGTGGACCATTTTCCAACGCTATCGCCATCGCCATTGCCATTGCCGCAAATGAGCCAAACTCGATAATAAGGCCATCAAAGTTTATGGCTGCCACAAGAAAGGGACAAGCACACAAACACAGCCACGCCCCCAAGAGTCGACCTGGTAATCGTTTGTTGTGTCTAGGGGTTACAGTAAATACAATTTGGTATGAAATTACTTTGACACAAAATCATCAACTGCGGCCCAGGCTGCTCACAAGGACTCATCCAACTTGCTGTTCAATGCGGGCCATGTGAATGGGTTAAATGACAAGATGACTGGATGACTGGGTGACAACTTCAACTGGACGACCGCTGAATCGAATTCAATTTCCATACGATTATTATAGAATTTGCTGGCACAAACTATGTCCAGCAATCAATGGCAGGAATGTAAAGTGGATGTGGATGTGGATGTGGAAGTGGATGTTAAAGTGAAAGTGGGAGTGCAATCAGGCATCGGCAGGCGAAGAAAGGCAAAGTTATCCACCTAAGGCGGATGCAAGGGAGGGTTATAAAGGGAGAAATCAAGGCAGCATCCACATCTATGCGTTTATTGTTCGACATTCGAGAGAAATAACAATCGTCTGAACAACTGAACAAGCCCTTTTCCCGTCAATGTGCCTGAGCGAGTGTGCGTGGGTGCGAAAGCTATAGAAATCCATTATAAATTCCCCATAGACTAGCGTACATATATGTGCTATATAATATATACATATATATGGGGGGGAGGGGCAATCAGCAGACGCAGACAGACATACTTTTGTTTGCCATGTGTTGTAATTTGCGTACACACAGATACTCAGATACTCGAATAGTCGACTCGACGAGCTATCTGGATGCGGGCATGTTCTCAAGGTCCTAGCCATAATAAACATTTAAACATCATTGAAAATTCATTTGGGTTTTGTTTGCACTCGCATTTTCCCCCATTTCCCGCTCTGTATGTGTTTACTTTATCAATTTGGCCAACAGAATTGTGGAACTGCAACATAAAATTTCAATATGCCCCTGAACCTCTGAACATGCCCCCTCCCCTGGCTCTCCATCCACATCCATATGCACATGGCTGACCCGGGAGCAATCAGTCTTTGCCCTGCCCACTTTCCATCGCCCATCACCCACCTCCACTTTTCCACCCGGAGATGTTAAGTTCCCAGTTCCCAGCTCCCAGTCCCCAGCTCCTGTTGCCGCCCTTTTTATAACTCTGCATATTTTTGTGCCACGATGCCAGTAACGGGTTGGGGTTTGGGGGTTCGGGGGCTTGTGGCACTGGCAGTTGCATGTGGCACAGAGAATGCAATTTGTAGACATGGACACTCGAATGCAATTTTGCACTTGCAAAACGGAATCTGGAATTTGGGTTTGTGCAATCAAAGAGGAAGCGTTGCAAAAGAAAGAGCGGTGGCATAAATTGCCGAAATCACATTGGGTGCATCCCTGGCAACCCTTCATGGCTTAAATGTGCCACTTGCACCATGGCTCACCTGAAATTCGGGCTGTCGCTCAATCAAAGCAGCAGAGTGACTCAGCGTTGGAAGCTCTTGACAACTCTGGCAGAGCCTCAGAAGCAACCCTCCCCCCCCCCAACCTGCTTGCTTTACATCTCTATTCTAAAGCTTCCCATTTGCATCTGTGGCACCCAAAGCACTTAGCCATTCTGTCGCATTTCCATCGAAATCATTGCAGATCTTACTGTGCAACTCTGCATCATAGTCGGTTGCCCTGGTAACCCTGGATGGCTGAAAGTTGGCTTTCTTTTTAGCCGCGGTAATGGTGTATTCGACTTGTCACTCAATCAAAGCAGAGAGGCACTTGGCAACTCTGAAAATTGCTCCCCGCTTCCCTATTTCTATTCTTAGCGCGACTCACTTTTCCCATCTGCCTTCAACAACGCGTTGACAACTCTGTCAGCGTTTAATTACAGTCCGGCCAGGCCTGGACATTTATTTATGTCCGCCGCGTTTTCTCGCCTCGCATTAAGCATTTTTTCTTCGCTTCCCCATTTTCATTTTTATTATAATTTTCATTTTCATTCTCGCTTTTATTGCGTCGTCGTGGGTGGCATAGGGGGGTTAAGCGCTTAAGTAGCTCCAAATGAACGGCTATTAAAGACGCGCAGGCAATTAAGAGTCGGCCAGGTGTTGAGGCCCACGACCTGCCACCTGCCACCTGCGACCTGCGACCTATGAACTGTGACCTCCCATGGTCACAATACTGCCAATAAACAATTTTCCCACTTGAATAGCAAGTAAGTGTGTTTGCCGCCTCTCTGCCGACACACACACGTCATGTCAAGCTATACATCGTACACAGAGAAAATTCTGATGTTTTCATCTGAGTTGAAAGTGTTCTTAAAAATAGAACGACATTTTTGAAATTGAAAATGTTTTCATTTTGCTCGAATCAAGTTGAATTGGCGGTATTTACATTGTGTATCTCAACAAATAAACTATTAGTCCAGTCAGTAGTGCATACTTATTAAAAAGTTGTTAAATTCAATCTAACTTTTCTCTTCCCACCATTTCGTTTACACGGCTTTTAAGAACGAATGTTCTCAATTCGTAAACAATGTACCTGAATATTTTCCTCTGTGTATATATTTAAGTATATGGCAAAGGAAAGGACACTCACCTGTCGGACTGGGCGTCAGCGACATCATGTCGAAGTGGATGTTCTTCTGCTCGAAGGAGTAGTCCTTGAGGAAGGTCAGCTTGGCGCCGCGCGTCTTGGTCAATCCGGTGACCGCGTTGTTGATGCTGCGCAGATACTCGCGCTTCCCGAAGTTCGTGTGCGGCGCGATCAGGCCGATGTTGAGCTGCTCCTTGTTGGCCGCCGCGCCCTTGCTCAGGCTGCCGCCCCCGTTGGTCAGCCGGAGGGCGTGGCAGGACCTGCTGACCAGCAGGATCGGCAAGAGGATCGCGAGGGCCACGAGGAGCAGCAGTGGAGGGGTCAGGACTGGCGTTGTTAGCCGTCTATTTCTATTGCTATTGTGCTGGCTGCTGGCAGTGTTCGAAGTTGAGTCGTCGGCGGTTCGCTTGATCTCATCCTCATCCTCCGTGCCGCATTTCAGCTTGACGCGACTGGGCATCATGGCTGTGTGGGTGGACTTTGAGGTCCTGGAGTTCGCTGGGATCCGGTGCTCGGGTTGCTCCGGGTGGTCTCTAGTGCATCTGGCCGAGATGCTAGATGATGGATAGATGGATGTATGCTATTGTTCGGTCTGTGGATGGATTGCGTTTTCCTCAGCAGTCTGGGTCCGCTCGCCAGCCGCTTTGCCCTCTGTTCGCTTCCCCGGGGAGTTGTTGTGATTGTATTGGCTGCTGCGCATTGCTAAATTTAAACGGGGGCAATAGAAACCATGTAGAAGTGCCCACCCACATTCACATTAACATCCACCCCCACCATTCGGGCACACATACACCTAAACAGCAACATCTGCAGCAGCATTGGCAACACTCGTCGTTGACGTTTTCCGCCATTTCCGTTTCCGCTACTAATTTGTTATGGCCGGAACCGGGAACCGTGGAGCGCATCTGGAAAATCATGGCCACTTTACGGGGAATTCCGTTGGCAGCGTTTCGTTTTGGCAGCTCCACGGTGCCAAAAGGGAGTGTACTGGAGTATTTATGGACACACCAGCACCACCAACCAGGTGGCAGGTGCTTGCCTCCATTGTTACTGTTACCTTTCCGGTCGCCCGGCGAGGGTATTCCACTTCCACAGGCATTTCCCCAGACTTTCAGACTAACTAGAAACGGGGATGGCAAGTGTCCCGTGCCTTTGGAATGACGGCAGCTTCAAGGGTTCCAACTTATCAACTGGGCTGCTCAAGTAGTGTATCAAGTGCCATGAATTAATTCCAACGCACAAATATATTCCCAGAAGCCGTAATGAGTCCTGAATGAACTGGAATGTCGAGGAGCAGTGCAGAAATGTGTGTACCACGGTAATGGAGACCATTGTTTCGCTGTTCCCTGTTCCCAGGGTACTTCACCCTTCGAACCCTTCGTGCCCCCAGGAGCCCCTCCATCGCCCTGCCGCCTACGCCGTTTTTCACTCGGATTCAATTTGAGCGCAGCTTGCCGTTCTACATAAATTAAATGCGACATTGGTCCGCATAATCGCAGCCCCACACACACACACTCTGGATCCCGCCTCCTGATTCCTGCCCCCCAGCTTGGAATGCGGCAATTGCTCGCGAAATTTTCACTTTGAATTTTGAATGCTGCCAGTGGCGGCGGCAGCAGTAAAAACAGGGCAGAAATCAGGAATCGGGGGTTGGACTACCCCTCTCCGGTCTCCCGCCCTTTTCTCTAGCCATTATGATAGTCATCATCATTAATATCCCCACATATTGTGGCTGCTGGTAGTTTTCCTGTATCTCATACCATAGTTCCGGCTTGGATTCGCCCTTTGTTGGTAGCTATTGCTACACCGAAAAAAGCTTGTCTAAGGTAAATTCTTAAAAGCAGTAATATTCAAAGTACCCATTTTCTCATTGGTTCCTAACCTCTTCAAAACTCTGGCTTGGAACATTTAACTTTCTTGCTTTCAAATAATTCGGAAAAGTTAAGTTTGGATAAATGCTACATCATTTTATTTATATTTTTTCTATGTGCACTGGTAAAACTCTGGTATTGGCTTTGGGCGTCGCCTGCTGCGGCTTCGTGTCATCATCGAATTCCACCCCCCCTGCGCTGGAAGGGGGTGGCAGGGGTTTGGCAGGGGTTCCTGGCTCCTGCGTCAGCAAGTTGCTCGACTTCATTTCGTGTTGCGGCGGTCGTCGCCTTTCGGATCTCTTGGCTGCGCGGCAAACAGAAGCTGTTTGGGCTTATAATTTGTCGGTTGTCTGCCGCGCCTTACCCCCAAACCCCACCCCCATCCCCCCCAGCTCAGCTCCTCCCGCGTTTTGCTTAGCCTCTGGTCTGGCTTAAACTGTGTTTTGACACTTAGCTGCCTGGCTGTCAATAAGCGGGGGAAGAGCCGTTTTCCTGCCTTTCAGTCTGCTCGTTTGCAGGAAAGAGTGATTACTTTGTTAGGGCCAAGCAGGCACAAAGGAAGCAGGGCCAGAGGGAAGGGTATAAGCAGGGGGAGGTGCAGGAGGAGCAGGAGGAGCAGGAGCATTAGGCTAAGGTTCAGGTCCTGCTCCGTATGCAATGGCCGCCAAAGGCGCCGAAGGTCATGGGCTCCTCTGCGACTGTCTCCGCATTTCTCCATTTCTCCAGGCTCATCTCTGTGTGTGTGTGTGTGTGTGTGAGTTTAGGACAGCCGTAAATGTCTGCTCATTCGTGGGGGTCTCTGTGTGTGTGTGTGCGTCTACATGTGTTTCGTACTTTTCGTACATGATGGCGGCAATAAATTGTATCTTATGAGAAAAGAAACCAAAATAACAGACATCCCGGGTAACGTGGCTCATAGAGCTCTCTGTCTCTCTCTATCTCTCTATCCCCTCTCTTTCGGCCTTATCAAGGGTGGTGGCTGGTGTGTTTTTCGGGGGGGCTACATCATTCATCGGACGTGTAATGAATTCACGGCGTATTAAACTTTTGATTGAAAATGTTTGTTGCTCTGGCTGGTCTTGTTAACGTCACTTCCTTGTGTTGTTGTTGTTGTTGTTGCTTGCTCTGTTACAATGGCATTATCATCATCTCTCTTTTGGCAGAGTGTGCGTGTGTGAGTTTATGACTTTTGCCGGACATCTTTGGGTTAGGCTCAACTTGTATTTACTATACTTTGCTGGGGACGGCTTTTGCTACAAGCAAACACACATAAGCCTCGTCTGTATAGTACACTCGAAAAGGAAGCCACAACCGTGCAGAGTAAGAAAAAAAGAATTTTAAGATGATATCATTGAGGTAATAATAAAATAAACTATTATATCTTTTTCTCTGTAGCTTGTACTAAGCTATACCTATTCTATTCACCATTAAAAAATAAGGTTACTTTGATTTTAGTCAATCGTTTTTTCTCGGTGTACTTATACGTGGCCCACAGCTGAACCCTTTTGACAGTTATTTACTTTTTAGCATGGCTTGCCGCTTTCCTGCTCGCCCTCTCTCCCCCTCTCCCTCTTTCTCTCTCTCTCTACCGCTGACCACGCCCACAAATGCAATCTATTTATTTATTTGTGTGTTTCCAGACCCTGTTCTTTTCGTCCTCTCCTTCTGTTCCTTTACTTTCGCCGTGCTTTATCGTTGCCAGCCAAGGGATCCTTGTTTGGCCAGCTCCGAATGGGTTAGCTTTGGGCCAGAACGGATGACTGGGTTGGTTGTAGTGGGTGGTTGGGCGGGTGCTGTCTTATTTGACAGTGCGTCGACCGCTGTCAACCCCTCTCCCTTTCGAACACACCCCCCACCCCTCTGGACAAACATGGCTGGTTGCTTATTAGTTTGGCCCAAACGTTTTCTGTCAACGCTTTTTCTTTGTCCCTGCCGACATTTGCCTTATTTTTCTGTTCGCATATCCTCCAAGCAACCAAAAAAAAAAAAAAACAGAAAATGTGCGGCAGGCGTGAAAAATGACTGCGTGTTATCTATGTGACACTGATGGTGTGCCATGGTGTTCCATGGTGCTCACTCCCCAACGCCGACGAGTCCTGGCCGGCACCTAATTCATTAGATCAGCTCCCTCTTTAGTCTTGTTTTGGCTTGTTGTGCCGCCAAAACAACAAGCAAACAAAAGTTTGCTGCTCAAAAGTTGGCCGAATGCAAATCCCCCTGCAACAACAATGGGGGGAATCACGAGCAACAACAAAAAACGTCGGGCAGGAAGAGGAAAAACCAACACAATGCCAGCTTGTCCCCGTCTCGTGTTTGTGTTTGTGTTGGTCTTGTGTTGTTTTGTGTTTAGCCCAAAAAGTTTTCGGCTCCCGACTGAGATGCAGTTGCACATTAGCAACATCCCTCAACATCCGCTGGCCGCCGATTTTTAGTCGGCAGTTGAGGACCCCATCTGTCAGAAGTAGTTCCCTAAATAGATTTAAACGTATTCCAAGACCCGCGAAGTTCATTCGCGAAAATACTATGTATACATTCAATTTAGGGAAACTACAAGTTTCAATCAAGTAGCAACATATTTATAAAACGGATATAATAACTATAGGTACCTCATATTATAGGTAAAATCATTTTGTAAGACTCTGATTTTTCACCAGAGATTTCTAGTCAGTGCTAAGATTTCTAGTCTTCTGTTTTTGAAGATTTAGGATATGCAAAACTGGTTGATCTAAAACTAAAGTGTATTTTAGGGCAATATGGGGGAAATGAGAAGAGCTTAGAAGAGTTTATTGAAGTCCATCGATTTTGTTAAAAATGCAGTGGATAAGTTGGATAAGTGTTTTCCCATAGAACCCCGCCCCACCGCCCCCTTCCGGTTTGTTTACGTTCCAGCAGCTGCAGCAGTCGAGCAGTGGAAAATGGGTTGAAAGGAGCAAAAAAGAAAGTGGAAAGTAGAATTTAGAATGTAGAATGGGGGCGTGGCAGGCGGGGGGCAGAGCGCGCCAAAAGCCGCCCAAGGCTGCTTCGCTTGGCCTTCCGCCTCGAATTAGCGAAAATTTCATAATAATAAAAATCTCAAACTTGTTGGGGGCGGCTATTGGGCGTGGGGTGGTGGTGCTGCAGTGGTGTCGAGTGGGTGGTTAGGTGGTTGGGGGTGGTTCTGCAGGGGGGGGTCTGTCATTGCAGGCTCTTAATTAAAATGTGTCGCAAGGGGCGTGGCAGGGGATGGGGAGGGGCGGTGTTCCTGATGGGTTGAAGCTTTTGTTTTGCTTTCGCGCTGTTTTCCTTCGGCACTTTTGATGCACTTGGCTATTGTTGTTGTGCTGGCTGCGGTGGTTGTTGCTTTTGCTTTGGCCGTGTTGTTTTTGTTGTTATTGGCACACTCACACTCACTCTCACACTGGCAAACACACACTTGAACAAAAACAAAATAAAGAGTGACAGTGACGTCGAGGCGGCCGCGATAGGGGATCTGCCATGCCACTGCATATCTCCATTGCACTTTTTCATGATTATTTTTATTATTCCATGATGTTGTAGTTGTTGCTGTTGCTGCTGCTAGGCGGAAAGTTTTTGGTTGAGAAGGGGGAGGAGGGGGGTGTAAGAAGAAGGCACTGCCAAGGGTGGGGTTTCAAGGGGGGTGGCAAGGGGTGCGAGAAAGCCAGCGACTGAAACTGAAACATGAAACAAGTCCACACCCAAAAATTCAAAGACACGCACAAATACAACGACAACTACACAGCAGCGATGACGACGACGCAGCCTCACACAGACACACGCACACTGGCACAAAAAAAAACACACACACACACAGAGCCATGAAGCTGGCACATACACATATACAGGCGCAAAAAAAGCCACGAAAAAAGTTCATCTATTTTGTTGTTGCTGATATATTCCTTTTTTCGCCATCATTCCGCTGTGCTTTCTCTATTTCTCTCTACCCCCCCTTTCACTCCTCCATCTTTTTTTGTCCTTTTTCGATAGCTTCTGTTGCTGTTGTTTTTTTTGCTGCTGCTGCTGTTGCTGTTTTCTTTGTTATAAAACAAAACACAATTGGATTGGCACATGGGCGGGGTGGTGGTCGAATGGGGAAAAGGGGTGGAGTCGCATGTCCTGCATGGCTTACGTTTACGTTTGCATCCTGTGCTCGCAGCGTTCACACGGTCAGTGGGTCTAGTCTAGGTCTAGTCGGGGTCTAGTCCTGGTATCTAATGTCCAGTTACAAAAACCGTATACCAATTCCAAAGTCCCAAGTCCGGTTCCTGAGTTCAAGTTCAGCCGGGTCAAGCCGGGCTTAAAATGGTCTCGATTTGGGAAACAGTTTAGCTAAAAACTGATCCGATCCTAAACCTGGCTCTCTGGTCAGCTCCTGCTGCTGCTCCTGCGGATGCGGGCGAACAGAAACCGAACCGAACAGAACAGAACAGAACAGGACAGAACAGGACTCTGAACGGCACGGAGCGAGCGGAACAGAACGGAACGGAATGGAACGGAGCGCGCTCTGCGGACTGATTGCGACGAGCCACCGAATGGCACTGCCAACCCGGGACGGAGCCACGGAGCCATGGAGCCGCCTCTGTCCGCAGCAGTCAGCAGTTAGCAGCCTCCGCAGCCTCCGAAGCTGCCACGAGCACGAAGCCAAAAGGACGAAGGACGAAGTGAGCTCGGTTTTCCAAAACGACAGGCTGCGGGGATGCGGGGAGGCCGCAAGAAAGGAGCCACCGAGCACTGTCAATGTCACAGAGAGAGAGGCATTGACTTGGTTTCGATTTCGATTTCGTTTCATTTCGGCCTGTAACACGCCCTCCTGCAGCGTATACGTAATATAAGCGTTCTCGCATCCAAAACTCTCGCGCTCTCACTCTCCTCTCTTCTGGATGCTTATCGCGTGCCAAACCCATTGCCAGGGCTGCCACCCAGTCAGCAGGGATGCAATCTGATACGAACCACTTTAGAACATTAAAAAAATCATCATATTTCTAGTGTGATATCTTTGCAAAG